GACTGAAAATCTGTGTGCTTATACTTCAATTCAGCTATATGTAAAATAATTGAATAAATCAGCACGCAAGGTATAAAGAAAAGGAATGTCCAATGCAGAGAAATTTCTAATTTCGATTTGAAGTTCATATCAGCACATTTAATTCCCAAAAGAAACAACAGATTTAAAAGGATGTTATGTTCGTGAAAGTAAGAAACAAAGTCTACTTTTGCGTTCGAGATTCTAAACTTCATTTTGGTCGCAGTATGCACAACACAAAAAAAAATCATTTGATATGAGAATTTTACAATAGTTAAATTATTGTACTTAATTGAGTATTTTAAAATCGAAAAGAAGTGAAGTTATTATGTGTTTTAAATCAGATTTAAGTGGATATCTGTAAGAGGCGCCGGCGTGTGTGTCGAACTGATCGGCTTCTGAATCGACAATTGCCACTATTCGCCTTCGATGATGTCACTTGCACGCATGCAATAAACTCCAATTGTTAAAGGTAATATTGTCCTGAAGGATTCAATTTTACACAAAATATAGAAACCGAATTTTTTTTATAGTCATATAGATAGAAGGCTTTTAATTAAAAACGAATTTTGCAATCAAAAAGAACAAAATGTATCATTTTGTGGGAAATACACAATTGAAAGCTAATATCTTAAACTGGAAGATTTTTTTTAAAAAATGACATTGATTTAAGGCATATATATTTTTATTCTGCAGCAAATATACATCTAACCTATCATACTGTCATCCTTTTCGAAGTTTTAGACACATATTGGTTCTTTTTAACTTTTCAAAGTTCTCAGAATATAAGAAAATTAAATTACATAGTTCACTTTAATCATATTGATATTGATTTCGTTCTTAAAGATCGCATCGATAATTTATTTTATCGAACATATAAATATTAATTTCACTAGTGTGTATAAGAAAGAAAATGTTTTAAATTTCTTATAACAGAAAATCGAAGAACTTCTGATAAGAAAAACTTGGCTAAGCTAAAGTAACCTATGCTCAAATAATGAGAAAATAATAAATTAAAGTTGTTCTTTTTTTTCTTTTCTGAAGTACCATTTCAGTTTTGTTGACGTAGCAATCATGACAAATTTAATGCAACGCCTAATCATGATTTTATACAAAAAATCATTATTATCGTAGTAAAGAATCTGTTTTCTACACTTTTTCTACTTGTTCTTATTTGTTACAAATCAGTAATAACTCAAATTTATAAATTTCTAATGTAATAAGACTTATTAATATTAAATGCAATTTTATATTTACTATTTTTAATTTTTGTTGAGTACATAAAATGTATGATTATAATAATTACTTGAATTGACATATTTCGATTTCTCTTATTATTTAGTGAATTTTGTTTGTGTTGAAAATAACGTGGTGCAGTTAAATTAGTTTAAAAGCAAATGTTCTTATAAGGTAATGAATTTTTTAAGTTCAAATTGTTAAATAAACATTTAAAAAATTCATAAAAAACTGAGTAATAACAATTAGGACAAATAATAGTAATTTTAATGAAATTTAATTTTAATTTTAATGAATTAGAACAAAAAGACAATTTTCTTTTCTTTCAAGCAAAAAATTTACTTAAAAATGCTTATTTACAAATTCAACTCAGAATATTCGATTTACATTTGTAAGACAAGAATTTTAATTCCTTTCTAGTTCTGTTTTGGCACTTGTTTCCTTGGAAAATATATTTTTTTAAATCATTTAAGATAAATTTAATTTACATAGTATTTTTTAAAATGACAAAAGTTATTTTTTTTTTTTTGAATAGATGAAAGAAATTCACAATATATGTTATCTAAAGTTAAGATTAGATGAAATGAAGTTAGACATTACCTTTTGCAAAAACAGTTTAGCACTTGCAGAAATTATGGATTATAACTAATCATGAAATGAGTAATTAGTTGAGTTTAATTTGACACTTGTATGGATAGAGGAAAAACAGAAAGAACCGATCATTAATGGATATGGTTTGACAGTCTATAGAGGAGATATTAGTATAGATTGTTGATGTTTATAGTAAAAATAAAAGAGTAACTTATGACACTAGTTATGGCTAATAACTTACACTGAGAAAAAAAGCATGTATCAAAACTACCACAATATGGTAAGATTTACAATGCTTTTGGATCTATGGAAATATCAAAAATCAATCTAATTTTTACCGAAGTGCTTTGGCAATTATTTTAGCTAAATAACAATAGCTTTATAATCCATGATAAAATTTATAAAAGTGGTAAAATTTGGTAATTTTATTACTATACCTTAGAGCAGTGTTTCCCAAACTTATGACTTCTGTGTACCACTAATAAAACAAATTAATGCATTTTTTAATACAAAAAAAATTGTACAAAAATTAAAAATCACAATTGACTGTTGACACCAATAATTATTAACTGTTAATGTTGCAAAAAAAAAAATAGCCAATAGAAAAATACGTCATAGTAAATTTTCATGGCTAACTTTCCTTAAATAAAATTTTTTGATAATTTCGCTTGTCACAAGATATTTCGCATAAGAACGCGTACCCCCTCTTAAATGTTCTCGTACCCCTGGGGGAACGCGTACCACCCTTTGGGAAACACTGCCTTAGAGCATGATATAAAAATCACTTATTCGGTGAAATTTACTTTTCAGTTTTGTATTTTTTCTAAATATATAGCAATAAGAACTATAATGTTAAAAATCTGGATTTCCGATTCCACATGAATGTTTAAATACCGTAAACAGTAAAACCTCTCTGGATCTACCACTCCACAGTAATAGAGGGTCGTTAATGGAGGTTGGTCGTTCTAAGGGGATACTTCCATTGATTTCAAAATGTTATCAAAGGTACATAATTTTTTGCAGGGGCTTTTAATTTAATTATTCTCGGTGTCATTCTTTGGTGCGGAAACGCCACTTGTATTGGCTTCATGAAAAACGGATTGATGAAAAAAATGTAGTGTCAATAAAAATGATCCCTACTCGAAAAAAGAAATTTACCACTTTTAAATGAACAAACAATTATGTTTTGTTTGAGTTTGCATTTAATTTCATATAAAATTAGTTTACTTTAAAAAATGAGAGATTTGTTTCAGGTGCTTAGTTTTGTGCATAATAACTTTATTCTTTCTAATTTAATTTCTTACTCTAAAGCTAAATTATTGATAGCATCGTCTTTAGGGCACTCTGACTGTAACATGAGATAATCTCTTTCAGCAATTGTCAAAAAGAGCTCTCTAAATAAGAGCCACTTACAAATATTTTGAATACAGTTGAATATACTTATTTGTTTTGTTAATATTTTTTTTTAAAATTTTGTTACTTTTTCGAGTTTCCTTATTTGTCAGGAGGCTGGGAGAGGTTTAGATGGTCTCCCCTAAATCTATTCTTCAATATAAATTCCATGGAAAAAATTTCTTGCCACCCAAAAGTGGTCTTAAATAGAGGAGGTCTCTACACAGAGTGGTCTTTCTGGAGGGTTCACTTTATTTTGGTTTTTATTGCCAGAATTATGTTTATTTATTTGTTTATTTCTTACCAGAAATGTTATTACTATGCAGTACGTTAGTTTTACCACAATCTTTTTTATCCGTGTACACTGTTACTCATGTTGTTAAATTTAAAAAAATGCCAATCTGAAGGAATTAATTTACTTTTTAAAACAGAAGAATCAGAATATTTGTTTAATTTATTACTTTAAAAAAAAAATTATGTTCAAATAATGAGTTTGGCAATTTTTTATACATTTCTCAATAATATTAGCGCATTGTAAAAGGCATACTTTAAAAAAATATTAAGTGTAATTTCGCTATTACTTTTTTTAAAATTTTTTGAAAAAAAGACAGGTAATGTCAAAAATTTGCAAAAAGTAATGCCTAAACTGCTCAATCATGGTTATCTGCCTTACAGTAGTAGTAATGACCTGGCAGTAATATTCTGTTAAAAACAGTGTATGTTAATTTGCATATTTATTAGCGTTTCATCTTTCGAAGGCAAAAATGTGAATATATTTTGTAAAAATAATCTTATAGAATGCCTAATCTCTTGAAGATTTGACATAATATAGTTACTTGATAATTTTTCTTTTACCAACTTATTAGTAAAGATACTATACCGCATTCTTGAAATCATATTATCATAAATATCGATGATTATCTTAAATATTGTAAGTGTAAAGTAACATCACTTAAATTAAACTATAGATAAAAAAAACTTAAAATAATGACACAGTAATAAAATTAAGGAAAAGGAAAATGTACAGACTAAAATTCAATACTTTAAATCACAAATATGTATAGCATATTAGCACATAGTTGTATGTTAACATTTTAATTTCGAAACTTATTAAAGTTTTAAAAAATGGAATGCATGATTTTATATCTTCCACTATTTCTCATACATAACAGGTGATGAAAAATTTATTGTCTAAATAATTCATAGAAAAAAATTCACATTTGCACTGAAAAATATTATTATTCTAACAGATCTGTTCAATGATGGTTTGTAATATTATTTGTACTTTTCGTAAGGCTATTTGAATAAATCAGCTCTTTGTTTGGAAGTAGCATCATTTCGCAATGCGCTGGGTCAATTAAAAAACTACAATATTTTCCAATCAGTCTGGCACCTTTTAGGCTTAAATCAGCAAGCCTGAATACCTTTAGGGTTATAAGAAAACATATCCTTCATAGCTCGATAACATTCTCAGTCTTATTTATTTTCAGTCAGTTTGCAATAAGCCTAGAGAAGTGAAGGCTTATTGTAAATGGCCTTTTTTAAGTTTCATTGCAATAAACCTGGGCAAATTCAGTTCAATTGATTCAGTTTAATTTTTCCCACATTTTCTAATTAGCCTTAAGGCATACAAGCAATTGTAATAAGCTTTAAAAAATATGAGATAGTAAATTAATGCCGATGACTTTTCCAATTACCCTGGCTTATAGCAAAATACTAGTAAACATTGAAGAGTGCTGGATTTTTTAAATAAACCTACAACATACTATACATATACATTTATGACAATTAGTAAAAAAATAATAATGACAATTGGTGATAGAGGCATACTCATATTAACAACAAGGATAGGCCAAACAATTAAAAATGCTGTTTGCTGGACCTTAGTTAAAATCTTCGTATTTACATATTTATTTTTTCAAACACTAATTTCTGACACTGGATGGTAAAGGTGGCATCTCTTCCTTGCTGTTTTTAATACCGTAGAAGAAGTAAAGTACCAAACCTAGAAGGAAAAAAATATTTCGAATATTGAATTTACAATATATTAGATATTAATTCGTAAATAAAACATTTTAATGTCTTAGTATCTAAGAAAGTTCAAAATTGAAGACTGCGGAGTTGAACACTGGTAGTTGTGAACTCAAAAATTTGGACAGCTGCTCAACTACGATTATGAAATATACATAAAAAAAATATTCATAATTAACTTTGGCAATGGCATTATCTATGAGTATCTTCACACAATCAATTCCTAAATTATACGAAAACGCACAATTTGATTTCTGAATTCGTTAAAAATTTATGGTAATACAAGTCGTTTAAATCAAAAGTCTGATTAATAAGAGCTGAATAATAATTAGAGCTAGATGTATATTTTTCGAGATCTATCGACTTTCGCCTACATTTATTTCATAAGTAAATTCTATATTAAAATACCTTGATTTTTGTATATTTTGTTCTTTATAATAACACGCAAGGCTGAGTTAGCTTGGTTGATAGGGCATTAGGCCCATGTCCAGGTAATGCGTTCGATCCCAGCCGGTCGAAGAATCCCCGTGTGGTAAATGGTGACTGGTGCACGTTTAATATGTAAGGTTACAAAGTCCTCCAAGTTCACATAACGAATCAATACACCTGGGGAATACTGAGTTGGTGATTGATCGTTCTCTGGTTTAGGCTAAAATTACGATATGTGGGTGAATGGATGCATGACTAGATCTGTCCTTTAAAATGGGGTGTGACGCGTGTGTGCGGCTGAAGTTATATTCTTGGCCAGAAATGGCGCCACTGAAAAACTCGAAACGCACCCTCTGCCTTAAATTCGCTTGGTTTCACAAAGCAGGTTTGCTGTTATTGGAAAGTGGCATTAGAAATAACAATAATAACACATACCATATCTTAATAAAGTTTTGTGGAAATTCATGAAAATGACTGTATTACGCATTGTGTAAAGCGAGATCCTCATTTTAACGTTTTTTTAATCATAACTTTGGCAAAAAATGAATTCCGAACCACAAATTATCTACATATTTTTTTGCATTGGTTTATCTTGAAAAATCCTAATGTAAATAATCTAAAAAAATAATGAAACTAATATTAAAAAATTATAAATAATAAAATCTTTCTAGTTGAAATTTCTCCAAAATGTGACTGGTTATATTTAAGGTTTCGCATTAGTCTGGAACACTTATAACGTAAAATATTAATTCACGCTATTAAGCTTCATTTTTGCTACTCGCTAAATAAAAGGCTAATAATATTTAGCCTTTTATTAAGCGAAACAACTGCTGTGAGTTTTGTATGCGAGTTTTATGCATCGGAAATTTTAAAGAAATGATCAGCATTTTCTGTATCAGATGTTCTGTGTCTGCTACATAAATGTATCTGCTACAAAAGTACTTTTTTTCCTTCAAAGGTCTGTTTTAATAAAATAAAAGGTAAAAATTGAGACATATAATTGAGAATGTCTGAACTTTATATTTTTGATTTGTTTTTTTTTTTACTGTGCTGAAAATGTCTTTTACTAACTCAAAACAGAAAGAAGTGAAATTAAATGACTTCACATTTCGCCAATGTATTGAAAATGACTGTAAAGGACTTTGAGATTCAGCCTGGTAGTAAATGTTGCAAGGCTGATGATGCAGTTTTAAAAAAAATCATACAGTTTCACAAGTTTCCGAGAAATGAAATACGTTTTTTTTCCAATGGGAAATGCTAATAATAATCGCTATGTTAAACCTGTTACATTTGAACCTAGAATAGTATCTGTTATGAATAGTTTCCTTCTATTATGAAATATTCTATGGCAAACGTCTGTTATTCCGCTATTTAATAACAGATATGGGTTTTTATATTAGGTATGGACAGATACGTTTTTTTAACATATAGAGTTTTTTAATGGTTAACATATTACATAAAGATGCTGTTACAAACCTAGTACGGATTTTTCAACTTCATGTGATAATGATATGGATTTTTAGGTTCAAATTTTTATACTAGGTGGATTCTCTAACTTTAAATAATACTCCTATAACGATTTTTTAACTTAAAATAATAATCTTATGAGGGTTTATCAGCTTGCAAGAACAGTCACAGAATTGAGAAAAGAATAATTTTTTTTCAGTATTTCAACAAAGCTTTAGGAGAAAATATTATTTATCAATTAAATGGGAGAGTTTGATATTTGTTTTCAAGTAAGCTTAATGCGAATGTTATTTTAAGGACTACTAAATTGATAAAGGGAAAGTGCTACCTTCCTCATCCTTAAGAAAGGAGACATCCCAGAGTGCTCAAACTATAGCTTACTTTACACTTTCTGTAAAATTTTCTCATAAACACTCTACCAAAAATTAATAAAGTGCAGACAGCATAGAATAATTCTACCGATCCGGCTTGTCTAAAGGTAGATCTACTGCCGTGAAAATAATTAACAAAAGACAAATAATGGAGAAAAAAACAATAACATTAGAATTCGGAATTTATATCCGTCTTCCATTGACAGATTTCAAAATAGTATATGATTCAATGAATCTAAAACGATTTATCGAATTCAATGAGGGAATTTGAAATTCCTCAAAAACTTATTAAATTAACTTCCATAACCTAACCAAAGAATTAAATTAGAGGGAAAAACCAGAATAACTTATCAGAGCTTATCAATATAATGAATGGATTGAAACAAGATAATACATTGGCTTGAATTCCGTTTAATTTAAATCTTGAAAAAATATATCAGAGGCTCCAAAGTAAACATAAGAGGGAATATATTCACCAAATCTGTACAAATGCTTGCTTTTGCGGACGCAGTCGATAATATAGCGAGAACACCAACAGCCCTCAAACAGCATTCATTTCTTTGGAAGCTGAGCCAATTAAAAGGTAGCGTTTACTAAAACCAAATATTGGCCATGCACCAAATTAGAATTTATCAGCATTCCTTTGGAAAGTGCAAAGATAAATTTGATGCAGTTAAATATTTTACGTACGCTGAAATAAAACCAGAAAATATTATAAAAGCAGAAATCCACAACAGAAGAACACTTTTTAACCAATGCTCCTTTAGAATAAGGAAATTTTTGAAGACAGGTTTCATAAAAATATCAACTAAACCGACTATTTATAAATAATTAATCATCTATTTTAAAATATGCAACTGAAACATGGACAATGGCTGACGAAGAAAAAGAACAACTTGCATTTTTTGAGAGGAAATGCTTAAGACGTATTTTTGCTGGAATTCAAAGAGGATAAACATCGAGAAAAAAGGAACAAATATTGAACTGTGCAAAATCTACAAAGGATCGGATAAAGTTCTTCAACATCCAAGAAATAAAATGGGCTGGTCACATTATCAGAATGCACGATACCAGCACCACGGAAAAAGTTTTCATTGCCACACCAGCAGATACTCGAAAAAGAGGTTGTCCAAGAATCAGATGAGTCGATTGTCTGTAAAGAGATTTGAGCATCCTCAAAGTAACCGGATGGGAAGTTCATGGTTAAAGATAGGGCAGTTTGGAATATAATTCTAAGAAGGACCAAGGCCCACATACTGCTGTAGTGCAATTGAAGAAGGAATGAAATTGATAAATGATACAGATTATAAGTGACGTGATTGATAAGTGAGAAAAGTGAATTCAAAAGCATTGGTGTATTAACTTATTTCACAAGCAAATTAATCCATAAACAAGTCAGCATTTTGCAAACAATATATCTATTTTGAAAGAAAATGACCTATGTCATAAATTAAAAGAAATATGAAGAAAAATGATAAATAAGGTACTTCTTTATCACTTACCGACGGCTATCCATATAAATAATCTGACCCATGTCGCAGGTTGCAAATTCACAATTAATATAATATTTACAAGAATGCTCATTGCTGGTACTAATGGAACGATGGGAACCTGAAATAATTTATTGCATTCAGTAAAACATATTCATTAGATTTGATTAAATAAAATGAATTTAATAGTTATAGAATAGTAATGAATTTAATAGTTAAGTTCCAATTTCTGGTATAAAATTTTTTCGCTTAAATATTTTTTATAATTTAATTCAGGGCTCAAAAACTTCCATTCACTAGCTCACCATTGACGATCAAATATTTTAGATTGGCGAGTAAATTTTATTTACCAAATTATTGAGTTTGAAATTAAACTACATATGCTTACTACATAATACATGCATTAAACTACATAGCTACATAGATTATCATCCCTCAATCCAGAGGCAACTCGAAGTGTTTTGAAAACAAGTGGTGGCATTTTTCTTCCATTTAGAACAACAAAAAAAGGACCAGGTTACCCACTTTGCAGCATTCATGAAACTATTGTTTTTGAGACGTTGAAATTTTATGACAACCTTATTTTTTTTAATTTATTATTACTATTCCAATAAATACTTGTCACCAGAATGTTCTTCATACCGCATCTGCTAGCATTTTAAAAACTATTCATATTGTAAATAACAGGAAAGAAAAATTTTAGTCTGGCCTTTTCTTTTTGCCTGGAAATTGTTTAGAACAGAAATTTCATGTCCTGGTTTTATTAAAAGTAAATTAAAATGTTTTAAAATATTTAATAGGGTTAACAAAGTTCTTTTTAATGTATACACAGTATTAAGAAAAATTAATAAACATACCTTATAACAAAGAGGACTTATGGACTGTTTGTGAATTGAGATAGTGAAGAATGATAGAATGAATCCTACAAGAAGGATAACTACAATAATTATGGCCCACCAACAGTCCAAATAACTGGAAAATATCCGTATAAAACCACATAGTAAAAAAGTTGTTACACAGTAGTATACCACAGAGTGGGTAACTAATTTTCCAGGACTCCAATCAATAAAGCGCTTCATCCACTCAAAATTGTCTCTCAATTCACCACCGGTATCAGTTAACGGAATGGAATTACTTTTGAGGGGATCGTCATTCTGCGTGAGTTCTAGAACGTCTTTTTCCGTCAAATCAGAAGGCTTGTATCTCAAGATAATCACGGAGGCACTTACCACAATGTATGCAAAGAGTGTCCCGATAGATATTACTTCCACTAAAGCATTGATGTCCAGTAGTAATGTTGTAATGAAGGATAAGAAAGAGAATACATACATAGCCCTCAGTGGAATTTGAGTCTTTTTGTTGACTTTCGAACAAAAGTTCAACAGAAGACCATCGTCTGCCATGACGTAGATTACGCGAGTCAAAGCGAAAAGACTGCCAATAATGCCTGTCGATGTGCCACAAACTGCTCCGACAATAACTGCTATTTTTGCCCATTCTGCCCCGTGAGAGCCTAATGCTTCTGGTATTCCGGACTCGTCTTGAATATCCTTATAATTTACCATAAGTGTAAGAACTGTAGCTGTTCCTATATAGCCAATAGCAGCTATACCCATTGCTGCCATGGTTGCCCTTGGGATAGACTTTTTGGGATCTTTTGCTTCTTCGCTACATGCAGCAATAGCCTCGAACCCAATGTAAGCATAAAAGCAAGAAGCGGATGCTTCGAAAACGCCAGACCATCCGTATGGCATGAAACCTCCTGTTTCTGGGTTGGTCCAATTCTTTATATCAGCAAAGTAGGCGCCTACTCCAATAATCAAAATGATAACTCCTATGTTGATAACGGTAAACAAGTTGTTTAAATAGGAAGTCATTTTGACTCCAAATGAAAGGTATATCACAAATATGAAAAGAATGAAAACGGCGAAAAAATCCAAGTAATCTGCAATCATAGGTGCTTCTATAGGTCCTGTAAAAGACATTGTACCATTTTTGATGTGGTATCCTGCTAAGGAGTCTATGTAGGCACTGGCAGCTCTCGCAGTTGCTGCTGCACCTATAGTGTGCTCCAATGCCATGTTCCATCCTACTAAAAATGCCCACAGTTCACCTACAGCCATATAGGTATAAGAATAAGCTGAGCCTGATTTCGGATATCTCACTCCCAGTTCAGCGTAGCACAGAGCAGCTAGGAAAGATGCAAAACCACTGAACAAGAAAGCTAGTACTATGGCTGGGCCAGCCATACTTTTTGCTACTGTTGCTGTAAGTACATAGACACCAGCTTCAACCATATGACCCACAGCCATCAGAGTTATGTCTAAGGTACTGAGACATCGCCTCAGATTTGTGTCTAGAGCTTTACCAATATTGGTTTTTTTCCTAGTCAAACGGGAGGAAAATTCGAAACATTTTGTCGACCAACTTTTTCTTCCCAGTGAAGTACCTAAAAAGAAAAAAAATCGATAAACTTAATTACTTAAATAAACATGTTTAACCACAGATATTGTGAATAGAATCGAAAAATTCTAATTGATGTTACTATTAATTTGTATGAAAAGAATATTTTTATTATATCTGCTACCACAATACTAAATAAATAATTGTTTTACATGGTTAATAAAATAATATTTTTACTATAAATTCTCGCAATGGTTTTTTTATTACAGAAAATTTCATCTTTGCGACGATTTGGAGGAATAAATATATTTACTGTGTTCGATTCAAGAATATGTGAAACAGGGTGTCCCAAATAAGGTGATATAGGGGTGATTCAGAAAGCATAAGGTGATTCAGAATAACATAGCAACACATGGTCGGAAACATCTTCGTTCGCCCTAAGTGGTGTTGTTAAACAAGAGCATTGGAGGAGACAGACATGCATTGCCGCAGTCATTTGAACTGTCATAAATCTGCCAAGCAGATGGACAATTTTTCTGCTGCTAGTGCATTTTTCTCAGTCAATCGGGTCAAACGGATCATGGGTTAGAGTCCCCTTGCCGTCAGGCTAAGCCAGGGAGACTTTCGAAGTTTTCCTCTCCATGTAACGCAAATGCGGTTTAGTTCCATCAGAAAGTCTTCCACGAAGGCAAATTTCTCCATTACTCGATCCAGGAGTTCCCTTGTCTTCTGGTTTGGGTTCAAAATTACAGGGTTTACGGAGTTGAACATTAGAAGTCGTAAACCCAAAAAATTGGGTCGGCTGTTCAACTGTTATAAAATTATAAAACGTTAGATTAGGGAATTCCTGGACTAAGCATTGGGAAAAACTAGTCTTCGTGGAGGATTTTTGCGATGGAACTAACATGCATATGCGTTACAAGGGTGGGAAAATCATGAAAACCTAACACAGCTAGAAGGTAAGGGTACTCGAACTCATGATCCGTCTACCACCGAAGATATTTTACTTCAGCACTGTGGTCGGTGTGGGATTCGGATTGACCTGCCATCGATGGGATTCGAACCTGAGTCACCTCAATGAGAGCCGAGCGCTCTATCTCCTGAGCCATCACGACTCTCTTACATAAAGTTATAATAATTGCATATTTTATAACGAAATTAGCTTTTATTGAAAAGTATCCACATTTAAGATGAAAAAAAAGAAAAGAAAATGAGATGAAACCAGGGGGCAGAATGCGGAACTTCCCAGTAATTTAAATAATAGACCATTTAAATTTATTTACCTAGAATCAGACAGTTTTCATAATGTTTACTTCACAATCACGCATTTTGTAACCAATGTAACTAGAAAAGGAAAAAGAAAAATTTTTGCTATTTATGGTCGAACAACTTTGAAATTAAAAACTAATTTTCAAGCTATCATAGCGCCTCATCAGAAAGAATATCATTCATCATTTATGTTGCAATTAATTAAAACAGTGTAGGGAATTATCTGTTTTGGCTGTCACTACAATTTGAAGCTGTGTCTGGTATAGTTAATGATTTAATTAAATACTGGCCAATTGTCAGTGCTAAACCGAAAAATCAAAGCTGCTCGCTCAAATTAAGTTAAATGATCAACCTCATGTTTCGAAATTTCAACTACTTGAGTATATTGCATTAAATACCACGTAAATTTATTTTAGACAAAGAAAAAGGCATTTAAACAAGAAAAATAATTGAACATTTTCTTGGAAATCTTTTTCTTTTCTTAAAAATCTTCACGATTTAAAAAAAATATCGTTAATTGAATAAAATAATACAATAATTTAAAATTAATTTAATTTTAAAGAAATGAATTAGTTTAATTTTAAGGAAAAAATCATAATCATAATTTAATGTATTTAAAAAAGAATTAAGAAGTTATATTTGCCATGATTTTTTTGATTTTTATTTACTAGATTTTTAGTTGCATAAATATATTTCAGACAACGAGAAACAAGATTTCAAAAGGAAAATAAAAAATTGAAACTTTCTTTGGGAATATGTTTTTTTTTAATCATGAATTTAAATAATCATCAATTGAATAAAAATAATTAACGAATTTAAAATTAATTTTAAATTAAAAAAGTAAATCAATTTAAAATCTAAATTTTAAAAAAAGAATTAAAAAGATACATTTGCCATGATTTTTTTAAAATCTTTATTTATTAGATTTTATATTTATTTTCCTATTTTTATTTAAATTTGTTGAGATTAGTATTGATTTTTAATTGTTATTGGTTATTATTATTTTATTTTAATTTTATAATGTTACGATCTGGTGTTCATTATATTCATAATCTTTCTTTACTATTTTTATTCACTACTTTATTATTATTTTTCACAAAAATACAAATATACAGACAATAGACAATTCGTTATTTGACAGTTTCGTTTTGCTTACTTCGTAGCTCTTGTTTAGCTACTACTAGAGCTGCACTATACTAAAAACAATTCCGGATCAAATTACGGTATAAAGTACTGGCACTTTGAATGCATTATCCGTAAAATCCATTTTGCCGTAAAATCCCTTTTTTTTAAAAAAAAAATAATATACAGTAATTTGACAGTTTAATTACCGTAAAATCACTGAATTACTTTCATTAAATATATGTCAAAACAGATTTTTTGTTCCGTAACATAATCCGGAAAACAAAAAAAAGGATTTTACGATAAAAAGTACCAATACCCTGAGGTCCGGTACTTTTTACCGTAATTTGACCCGCAAATGTTTTACATTGTAATGAGCTTTTGGAGATAGTTAACTATGTATTTCCGAAACAAGCAAAGGAGACAGAGGGTATTTAAAATGATTTTCCTTATTTTTGATACTAGAAACATCATTTTGGCGTATCAGTTATTCTTATGCAACATAACTAACGTACCAAGTTTCAAATGAAAACATTAAAAAATATTTAAGATGTTAATTAAAATATACTTTTTAAAATATACTTTTAATTAGATATAAATAAAAGAGTCCCTTAAACTACAAATCTCTTAAAATAATGTTAGTTTTTTTTTTAAAAAAGTTGGTCACGAATGAGGTTTAGAACAATTGTTGCTTGAAATAATTTCGAAAATATGTGTTTATATACATTTACTTAAATAAACNACAATAAAATACAAAAATTGAAATGTTTTGAAAAAAAACTGTTGCACAGGAGATATTTTTATTGTAATTGAATTAATAAATCTCTTTCTAAATTAATCGAAAAAGCTTATACATTCCAGTTCCTTTAAACAAATAAACAGGTTTTCTACAATTTGCTCACCGATTTTGAATTTAATCCCATCCAAGCCCGAGATCGACAAAATTTTTTGAGCTCGAGTCCCACATTAAATTGGCCATGGTCAGGCTAAAGTTTTTAAAAGACATCATCTGAGATTTCCAAAAGAAGAAATTTTTTGCTATTAAATTAGCTATACTTAATAATTAAACCATCGGTAATAGAATAATATAATTTGGGTCAAAGCTCTCGGGCTCAATCTGATTTTCTGTCATCTTCAATCATTATAGAGGACACTAGGGACAAATAAAGGTTTTAAATCATTTAAGAGACTTAAGGCGTTTAAAAAAAGGTGAATGCAATCCATTTCCGGCGGGTAAATAGGCTCCTCCCAAGTGACGTTGCAAGTACGAGGAGTAGGATTGAGAGATCATAGAATCCTATTCATTATTGAGATTATGTCATTGTTCCTCCAATAATTCAATCGGTAATGCGCTTTAAATTATTTTTTATTTTTCAATAATTTTAAATTCTTAAATTTTTGAAATAACGTAAATGAATTTTCGATTTTTTTTAAAAATTTATCTATATAAATATATACATGATAAACACATTAATGAATATTTTTTTAAATTATTATCTGTCGCATTTCAACGATTTTGATGTTCAAATGAGAAATATTTGACTTTTCTTTTTAAAGGTTGAAATTGGATAATGGTCGTAGAATTTAAAATAAAAATATCTAAGTTCAACGATTCAAGTATTTTTTCGATTAGATAACAAATATTTACTAAAAGTTATTTTGTGAATGGAACTATCTTTGGGTAAACATATTTTACATTTGATTGCAAAAATTTTTCAATTTGCTTAAAAAGTTCACAAGATATGACGAAATACCCAAAAAATAAACTTAACATAAAGAGGTCCAGACTTTGGATTGCCCTCCTGTCCGAACTATTAGACCATACTCCCCAAATGTATTTGCTCCCCCCCCCCATATATCGGGATTCAAAAATCCGAATTCTTCGAAAAAAATTTTATTTTATTCATAGAAAGTACGTTTTTGCGTTTGATTTCGTAACTTAAAATATCGTACTGCACCAATTAAGTACTATATATGAGTTAACCCTCTCAAACCATTAAGATTGAGTAAAAGAACGTGAAGATCCGATCATTAGATAAAAAGTTATTCAGGGTGGTCTACTTTTTAAATTTGAACACTGTGCATCGTTGTATTCTTGTATTATTTACACCCACCATTAAGGAAAAATTATTAAATCAATAATTAAATAACTTAGCTCTTATCTTTCAATTCAATAAAAAAAACAATACTTTCAACTCAGCTTTAGATTAAATTATATAATTCTTAAGCAAATTAATTAAAAATAATAATTTTAAAAGCATATCAGTATATCAAATTGTGAGTAATTACAGAAAAAAATTAGAATAAGGATAAAGAATCTCAATTTCCACTCAAAAATGTCTTCATTTTTTCTCTGATTGTATCATGTTTTAAAAAAATAATTTATAGAAAAAAGTATTAAGTAGTTAGTTAAAAATTATGGTAGGAAAAAAGACATACAAATCAAAATACTTAGCAACATGAGAGTAAATGTATCCCTACGAAATGGGATAATCCTTAATCTTATTGCACACCGCGTGATCAAGCTGTTGACCTTGGGAAAAGCCGTAAATAGGTTTTTGTTTATTTTTTTACTCTCTTTCCTGCCTTAATGAATGGTCAAAAAGAAAATGCTTTTCAATTTTTTTCACTCAAATATTACAACTTGGTAATTCGCCAAGTTACTAAAAAAATATTAACTTGGCGAACATCTATTATTAACTATCAAATTCTATGTCGGATTGTTAACAATTATTATACGTAAATCAAAAACTGATATCCATTTGTTAAGTACATCGAGTTTGGAAATTCTGGAAAGATTTTCAAAATCTTGGATGATTAAAAAGCGTACAAAAACTGTATAACATTTCAAATATTCACAATTTATAAAACAATTTGTAAGTTGTTCAATTGTTTTAACTTTTTAAAATTAGTATTACACTCTATGTTTCACGAAGTTCCCTTCATAACAAATTTTGAGTAGACATTCTTATTCTAATTTGAGTAGACATTCTTATTACATCACACTTTTACAAGACCTACATTCATTTGCATTCTTACATAACTTCCTCATCAGTGAGATATACGTCTTACGTAACGTCAGTGAGATAGACACATTTAACACTGTTTATAAAAAATAATTACTCCTACAATTTAAATTTATTACCAATGGGGTAATATTTAACGTCAATTAACTTATAATTTATTAAGGGAAAATAAATTGTAAGTGATCTATCTATCCCTTGTCTATTTCTATTCCATCTTCGATTCTTTGGGGAATTCTTTTGAATACATCAAATTAGGTTAATTTCTTTTTTATATTTATCATACCCTCATATCTTTCTTTAAAAGAAAAAGAAAATAAAGAATCATACATAAAAAGTCTATCACTATAAGATGTTTTTCATCTGAATATATTTGGATATGATTGATTTCATAACTCAATTAAGCTTATAAATTTTTTTTAATTTTAATGAAATTGTCATTCTTTAACTCATGCATAAAATGAGAGTAAGACGCTTAAGTGGGGAGAGGGGGAATAATTCTAGAGCAGGAGTTTCCAACTTACATGAGGCCGGGGGCCCCAATTAAAAACACAAATCAAATGACGGGCCGCAACTTTATCAAAATTTTATCTAGGACTCCTTTATGTTTGAAGGAAAATTAAATATGACTGTCAGATTTTTATCAAGTTGTACAAAACAAGCGTATTGAATTACAAATTAAAATTAGAAGTAGATTTTTGAGCAACATACACGATTATGTTTGTATTTGAATAAATATTTTCTTGGATGCAAAACCTGAGAAATAATTTTTTTTTTGCGCCGTTGGTATGTTAAATTTCGCAGAAACGAAGAAATTAGGGTTTTTTTTTTAACGGAAGAAAAGTATTTTAAACCCATATAGATTTTTTACGAAAATTCTCCGCAAAAAATGACAACTAATATACTTTAGTTCATGGGCCACAAAAAAAGCCTTCGAGGGCCAGATGCGGCCCGTGAGCCGCCAGTTGGTAACCTCTGTTCTAGAGCATTAACTTCAAAAAATAAATCGATATTGATTAAAATATATTTTCTTCTTGTCTTAATATAATTAGAAATAACATTAATATAAGAAATAAGGGCTTTGCTTTTGAAATATATTTACAATAATTACAATTCGTTTTATTTATTTTTACACAAATTTAGCTTAAAATGACAATTTTCATGAGAATGAGTCTTTTATTGATGCATTTTTTTTTTTTTTCGTTTTTCATATGAGTTTTATGTTTTCAATAACTTTAATAACATTTTTATTAATTTCAAAATTGCATTCAACTTATTTTACATAAGTAGTATAGCACTGACTGAATTCTAGTTATCTATATTCTTGATTAGTATAATTTTTGTGATAAAATTTGTATTCTGTCTTCCTTTTAAAATTTTATTGGGGTTACAAATTAGTTCGGTCCGTTTTCAAAAGATAGCTCAGACTGTAAAGAATGTTTCATAGTGACAGATGGTTTCGGTGGTTTCAGAGAGGTTATACATCTGTCAATAATATTCAGTTTACATCACTTTGAGTTTCATACAAAAACCCTGTTTTGTACTTTGTTGAATAAGTCAAATTTTGTGGTAAATAAGCACCATTTGCGGGAGGTTTTAATGTTTCTGCTTTAACTGCAAGAAAAGTGCAGCTGAAGCGCATCGAATGCTTGTAGAAGTTAATGGTGACAATGCTCCAGCTGATAAATCATGTAGGGAATGGTTTCAACGTTTCAAGAATTTTGAATAAAGAATGGTGAATGGCGAAAGAAGAATGGTGAATGGTGTTGTATACTATGAGCTGTTACAACCTGCTGATTCCAGTACGGGCGATCGGTATAGGCTACAATTGATTCGTTTGAGTCGTGCATTAAGAGAAAAACGGCCCGAATACGAGCACGGACATGACGTAGTTATTCTTCTGCATGATAACGGTCGGCCTCATGTCGCAAAAAATTATTTGGAAATGCGCAAGTGGGATATTTTACCGCACCCACTGTATTCACCAGACATTTCTCCTTTTGATTGCTGGTTGTTCTGACGGATGCAAAACGATTTGGCAGGTCACCGGTTTATTTCTTTCGTGGAAATCGAAAATTGGCCCCTAACTTGGATCGCCTCAAAGGACGAGACATTTTTTCGAGATGGAATTTGAAAATTGCCTGAGAGGTGGGAAAAATAAGTAGCCAGCGATGGACAATACTTTGATTAATCTGTTCATTCATTCTGTTCAAAAATAAATGCATTTTTGACCACAAAAAAACGGGCCGAACTAATTTCTATACTCAATATGTATTTAAAACTTTTTTTTATTCAAAATTAAATTTCCTTCCAATAAATTTTTATGTTTAACATTTTAAGTGAAAATTTTCTAATCTCAAGAATATTTTTAACTTTACCTTAGCAAAAATCATTTGAAAAATTCATGTAAATTACGTAGATAGAGAAGAATCAAATGATTTGTAAAAATATTTCAAATATAACTTTTTTAATAAATTGAATAAGCTATCCATACTTTCAATACGTTTCTAAGAGAATACATAATGTAATTAATTATACGAAAGAAATAATTTACTACTTACCTATTTCATTTGTATCGTCCATAATTGTATCATAAAATAAGTTTCTAAAAAATGTCTTTTTTTAATTTTCGAACTATTTTATTCTTTTTGAAATTCATCATTTGTAATTTTTATTTAATATAGCAATATATTTCTTTTACCACATGCTATAATATTTGAGATTTTCAGAGAACTCGTAAAGCCAGACCCATAATTACCCTTTATGGCTATGATAGAATGACGTATAATATTACTACAAATTTTATCGCCAAATAAATTCGCCAACTGCGCCTTATCTATAGTTAGATATTTAGAATGTTAGGGATGCTAATAAAACTTTTATTTGCAAATTAAAGATTTACGCAACCTAAGACATCGTTTTCGTTGTTGATAATATAATCACCTCCGAGATAATATTAGTTCAAAATGTATTGAAATGAATTATAAATTTTGTGTAATCTTTAGTTTTAAACAAAAATGAACTTATATTTTCCCAGAACATTTTTTCTCTCCAGATTTTCTTGTAAAAAACAAACGACTGTAAAAAAAGAAAGAAAGAAAACGTTCATCTTAAACTGTAAACATATGGTGTCTATATTTAGATATGGGAATATAAGAAATGTTTGTTTTTAGTTTAAGATGGACTTTTTCTTTCTTAAATCACAAATATTTGTTTGAATTTTACTCTAAAAGATAAATAACTTTTAAATGTATCTGAAATTTTCTCTATATCGTCTCGATAATTTCTAAAATTGTTTTCGTATTCAAAGAAAATACTTGTCACTTAGCAGTATGTTGACCCGAATTTTTTTACTTTTTAAAACGTTTAGCTTCTCCTAATTTATATCTCGTTTTAGAAAAAAACGATTTATTTAAAATTTTAAGTCAATTGGGTATAATATAGCCTACGTCACAGGTTGTGTTGTTCCTACTAAATTTGACCCATGTACGCCATTTTCAGCGAGCCTAACTTCGAGCCACAAATAAACAAACGAAGTGTTCGATCGTTTAAAGAGCTACTCGTCAGATTTTATTGCATTATAAAGAAAAGTTATTGAAACTAAATACAACTAAATAAACAACAACAGCTGAAATACATAACAACAACTACTAATAACAATAACTAAATAAACAACAACTAAATTCCATTCGTTTAGCATTGCGTCATATGTTGCTCCTACTAAATCGAAGTAGTTGTGTTTTTTTCATATTATACCCAATTGAACTACTGAAAAACTGCCCTTATCAACTGTGAAATAATGTTATTTTCGCCCCAAAAAATGCTTTTCAGATAAATGAGAAGATGGATTTCTTTCCAGGTTTATCGCATTAGATATCAGTGAGTTAAAAACTTAGACATCATGATTTATAAGTCTATTTGGTTGTACTGAAATTGCATTTTAGGATTCCATGCCAGAAAAGATTGGAAACTGCTGCCTTAGACAACCAAAAATTTAGAGTTGTGGAGAAAACAATGCAAAGATTACGATGAAATAAGGGTTCATCTAAAAATTAGTTCAAAAGATATTAATTAAATTTGCATTAAAATTTATAAAATTTGTCATTATTAAACGTTTTTTTGAAGGGCATGACATGAAGCTCCTTGTAAAAAGAAATTTCTCAATTATTGTACGAGATACTAACATTTTTCGTAAACATGTGTTCGTTTTAGGATTTAAACAGTGATTTTTTTTTCATACAGGTCGTTGAACAGCCGACGCAATTTTGAGTTTACGGCTACCAATGTTCAACCGCGTAACCTTGCAGTTTTAAACCCAATCCGGAAGACAAGCGTACTCCAGGATCAAGTATTGGGAGACATTTTACCTTCACGGAGGACTTTTTGAGGGAACTAGCTCGCATTTACATTGCATGGCGAGGAAAACCACGGAAACCTCCCACCGTTAGTTTGACGGCATGGGGACTGTAATCCATGATCCGTCTACCACTGAGGATATTTTACGCTAGCACTGTGTTCGGTGCGAGCCGGGTGCGGAGTTTGTATCGACCAGATACCGAACAATTCTAAATATGCTAAAAAAATTAATGAATAAATAAAAATAGTGAAAAAAAACTATTCAATGTGAAGAATGAAATTTTTTTATTGTTTTATCATTGATAGTCTAGGTTTTGTCTTAGACAGTTGAAATCACAGGTATACAGTGCCAACTAGTCTAGTAGTTTTTTGCGTATGCATACATTGAAATTGAATAAAATAAACTGAACAAGCTTTTGATGAATAACCGTATAAACAGCGTAAATGGATATCCAAGAAAAATTATTCTTTATTCTAGAATTTGATATTTTATTTTCAATTTCTAGGGTTAGTTATAAATACCGATGTAATTATTTCTGAATGCATGTTATTTTAGTGATTTATTTAATGCGTTGTTATTAAAAAAGCTTATATTTCTTTTTTAATTTTACTATAGTTTTTCTCATTGCAATTTCACTGAAAGAATTTCATGAAAACAGCCAAGATATTAAATAAATAATAGGTTGGATATTACAAATATCAAAAATTATTACTGGTACTAACTTACAAGATTGTTCCTGTGATCGTTTCACGAAACACTTTTTGGGAACCCCTGGTCTAGTATTCTTGTTTAAGAAATATATGATCGCACGGATGAAAACTGTTTGGAATTTTGTCAATATTCGAACTGAAAACTTTTACGCCCTAAATTATTGAAAGGAATAATACACACAATAAAAATTTAGTGATTAAAAAACTTTATTTACTTCAAAATATTGAAAATGGTTATAAAAGCTGATATATTTTGTGAGCTCAAAAAATAATCACTCTTTCTGAAGACTAGTCAGACGAGAACGAGAAAAAAAAAATGATTTGTAAAAGAAAACATAAAGGGGAAAATTCGAAACACCGTTTCCCCCAGCTATTTTCTCCATTTAAATAAATTTTTATAAGTTTTAAAAAATTAAAAAAATTATAAATCAGCAGTGTTTCCCTGAATACGGACTTGTCTGAAATGAAGCATTTCAAAGGATGCAAGAAAAATTCGATTATAAATTTATATAGACTGATTTAAGAATATTTTAGAAGGCACAAAACAAAATACAACCAAAGAATTTCTGTGATAAAATACAAAAATGAAGCAGAATTATATAGGGGAGAGTCGGGTAGTCCCGCTCGCTTAAGGAGTATTGCTTATATTTCTGTATAATAATGAGTAATAATAAATATTTTGTGTGTTTCTATTGTTTTATCATCTAATTAAATAATGCAAAAAGAATAAACCAAAAAATGAATAGTTTAACTTAAAAAAATAGAAATTTAAAAAAACATGTTTTTCAGCTCTTTTCAAAATGTGTCGGGTAGCCCCGCCCAGATACAAAGTTATGTTTTTTGACTGTTTTTTCAGGTGTAAATGAAAGTGACCAATGTATTGACAATAGGTAAACCACGTTTATCATTTGTATCACAAAATTATTTTATTTATTACATATTTATATACTTTTTCAGTGAATTCTATCATTTAGTAACAATCATTTAATAACAACATTATTTGTTGTTAAAAAGGCATATAACATTCAAATTTGAAGCAATAAAATAATAATTTTTGCAACCGCACATTTATTGACGAAATAAAATTGGTCGTTGATACCAGACATTCATGTGAGCGGGGCTACCCGAAATCCAATTTTTTTGTAAATTTGTAATTACTCGAACAATTTTTTACATACAAACTTCTTTCTTTGTGCAAATTAAACTTAAGACTACATACTTTAATGCTGTATGTATAGAAAAAATTATTTTTTTAGTATTAAAATGAAGTTTAATCGAAACATTCAACCAATTTTTCTTAATTTCATGACTACTGTATTCAACATATTTTCAAAACTATTGTTTACCATGTTACCAGCTGCATAAATACTTGAAACTTTGAAAATAATCTTTTTTTAATATAACAATTAATGTCCGATGGCCCATTGACTTGAAAAAATATTCTATACATATGAAATTGACAGAGGGCGGGGGTACCCGCTGGGCGGGGCTACCCGACTCACCCCTATTATATGAAAAGTAAGGAGTTTCTTTTATAGTAAGAAATATTAATTCACTTTTTAAATTGGTTCACATCGGTTTTGAAAATTAGCATCTCTGCTTCTCTTTCGGTTGCTCTTCAAGAGATAGAAGATAGTAATTGTAAATTGCATATAAGGTAATCTTACTCATAACTTATACAAAAAATAATTTATTATCGCCAAAAAATATGCTTAGAAATTACAAATGGTAATCATTTGCAAAGGGAATGGAAATAGTAACACATGTTTCATGCGCCATAAAAAGCATCATTCCTTGTTATGTAAACCAGACAATTTAGAGTTGCTTGGCGCCACTTATTTTAAGCCATCTTTCCCAAATCGGAACTAAATCGAAATATGTATTCAAGAAACTTAGAGTCATCGACACAGAGAAGGAAATGATTTATCTTATCTGCTGCCTGCTTGGCATCTGTTAAGTGAAAGTGCAGTCTAGTTCTTATTCTCATCTAATTATTTCAGTTTGTAGATTTTTTCATTGAGGATCGTGCTTTGATTGACAAAAAGTGCTTTACGAAGGCAAATTTTCTCCGATATTTGATCCAGGAGTTCTTTTGTCTTCTGGGTTGGGTTCAAAATTACAAGGCGGCGGATTTGAACATTAGTAGTCTTAAACCCAAACAATTGGGTCGGCTGTTCAACGACGGTTAAAATATAAAATAATTGAACTGAATAAAAGATTAAATACACTTTTATTTACAATTGATAAAGAACAAAGAAACACGCAATTTTTAAGTAAACTAAGTACGTGGAATACTCACCAAATATTTTGTCACAGTACTCAGTACGGCAGAAAACTATACAGGATAAAATTTAAAAAAAGTGACGTTTTTAGAGAACAAACTGTAATAGACTAATTTTCATTTTGTGATCATTACACAGTTAGGTATAAATAGTTAATGGTTGAGTATTTATTTCTTCCAATATTTTTATCCATTTTCATCCAAATGAAAATTAAAACTTGAATTCACCATTTCATCGAATTTATTTTTTTTTAAATTTATTTATTAGACATTTTAATAGTTAACCTTGTTGAATTTCGCATCATCACCATTTAGTTTTAGATACTGTGGCATTGTTTTTCTTAATTATAACGGATGAAAATAGATTTTTTAAAAAAAAGTAAGTTTCCAAACTAAAATCATATTAAATTTTTATAGGTCATCCCATGTTGCAGT